TTTTTTTTTTTTTTTGGGGGTGGGGGGGCATTATTATCTGCCATGTGTGTCTTTTGTTTAACTGCTACTAGATTAAATTCGATCCATTTCTGAAGCTTAACTCACCTGTAGCTAAGGATATGTTTGCCTAACCTTAATTTTCAGTTGAACCGTTGTAGCTGCTAGCTACCCACAGACATGCTCTGCTAGGCAAAAATTAAAGTCCAATATTGTTGAATGCAAAGTTGAATGAATATGTTTAAAAAAATTATTGTCGAATTCATTTTGAGTAAAAAAGGAATACTCCTCACTACCTAAGAAGTAACCTTATAAACGTGCCCCCTGTGATAAAGTTCTGCTGCTTCTGCAAAATGCAAATTCAGTCAATTTCCAGGGAATTTAAAAATTTAAAATTACATGTATAAATCAGGTAAAGTATTTTAGTGCTTGTGAGCCCTAGGTATGGAAAAAACCGTGGTAGGAAGCGCTTTCCCCTGAATGAGGTCTTATGCGGCGCGAATCCGGATATAATCGAGCTCAAATACGGGTACCGGACACCGGATGGGAACCAAAAAAAAGTATTTTAGTGCTTGTAAAAAACAAGATGCTCCTTTTGTCTCGGCCACGATATTCTTTTATGTTTCCTAAGTTTAAGTTTTTACCAAAAAATAACCACTCAAGAATACATTACGTTTATGGGTTGGCAATCCAAAAAGATGGTGAATATATAACTTATTAGTCACTCATATTACATCAAGTGTAATTTCTTTTACATTGTCAGCGAACCAAATTGACATTCTTTTTCCACGTGTATTATATACATACTTAACTATAAGTGGCTCTATGAATAATTATATACAGTACCACGTGATCAAGACTCAAACAGATACCTGCAGGAAGAAGGTTAGTCTTCCTTTTTAGTTATCTTTGATATGAATTTATTTCCTTTCATTTCGCTTGGGGATATATTACAAAGTGCAACGGATTTTTGATGCGACTAAAATAGGTGAAGAACTTAGAAAAGCGACATGGAAATCTCGTGCTTGATTTGGTAAGTATCTTTTAAAAAGATATGTTGATTTTTTGTTATTGATTTACGAGATTGTTAATTAACACAAAAAAAGTTAATTGGTTCATCAAATTAAGGAAGCAAAATCTGAAGATCCAAAGTATGGTGTAGTGGAAAATGAGGGACAGTACAACTCTGCTATGGCGTTTGCCAATGGAGTACACAACCTCTATGCTTTTCGCCTACAATCGTTGCACCCCAATCTTCAAAATGGAGGAGAATTTGGTTCTCGTAATCTACGCCTTGCTTGAAAAGTGAAAACAGCAATTTGGTAATGGGGTTAAACCCTTAAATGTTGACTTACTTATTCGAACCAACTTCCCAAGTTATATGTTATTACTCAAAAAAGTTAACTATTGCAAGATGCAAAGACTACTTTATCTAGTTAATTAGGTTTTGCGCTGAGTCTGGATTTGATTGCTCTCCTAATTGTCTAAAGCACTTTATTATTCTAGCTAGGAGTTTCGACCCAAATTAAGAAGATGAATTATGATATCTTGAATGAATGTTCAATTCTGCGATGTTGATTTTTTTACTTTATTGTTAGAAAATCTACACATATAGTTTGTTCTTTTTAGAATGTTATGCAACACATCTCATTAGTAAATCTAATTCTTAATATTTTGTTGATGCATACTGGTTAGGAGCTGTAAAACTTAATTTAAGATCTGTATCAGCATTATTCTGAATTATAGGAATCGTCAAATTTTACTTGTTATTTCAATTTACTGCCGGGAGTAAGCTTTGTGCTGATAGAAATGGCGGCAGTCTTTCTGTAGTGAAAGAAATAAATTACGGAGCAAAAACAACGAATTGTATACATTGTTATGCGCAATGAAAATCGTAATTGCTACCAAGTTAATTTTTCCAAGTCTACTTTGCCTCCCTTGGTACCAAAGTTCTAACTCACAGACTAGATGCCTCGTGTTCTTGCTATGTGTTTCTCTTTGGGAGAATTGCACATTTTTATTCTTTGTTCGAAGAGAATTATAAAGGTCGGAAGTTTCAAGAGAAAGAAAAGAAACCATTCACAAAAATGGATCGCATGTCTCCCACTTAAAGAGAGCGGTAGTTTTAACTTTTCTAGGTAACCTCTTTAGATTTATTTCTTTTAAACGGGTCAGATCGGTCCACAAGGCGATCCACTACCCAAACCTAATATCCAAACATGTAGCTTGCTTGTGACTTGTAAATTTTCTCTTTGGGTTATGGCTGAACCTTGATTGAGTGTAATCCACATTTTACTTGAAGGGGAAAATCTGAATTGGGATTTTGCAGTGATAAAGCCTAAAGGTATCACAAGCCAGCTTTCGTTTGAACTGGCATGGTGAAAAAATTCCCGAATATTCTTTTGCTTAAATCTGTTGGATACTTGGATGCTATTAAGGAAGACGACAAATCGTCATTAAATTGTCCTTCTGATTTTCCAATTAGTTTTATAACACAATTGTGTTTGAAAGTATGAGTTGTAATTTCCATTCAAAAGATCGAAAATATAACCGGAGTTTTAAAATGTTATAGATGCTTTCATCACATTACAAAATTATTAAAAGATTGATTGGACATCTTTATTAACTACTACATACTAAATTATTTTCATTCAGCTGAAAAAAAGTATGAAATCGAACAGTAAAAAGAGAGAAAGAAAGTATCATTTGTCATAAGGTTTGAATAAAATGCTATATTAGGAAGAAATTTGTTCATTTTATCATTCGAAATTGCACAATCAATTAAATTTTGGTTTACTATTGATGGTAGGCTAGAATCCCATGTTTTAGTTATAGTCTGCACTTCAATTACTGCACTGTGAGCGTGATTAAGCTTAAATAATAGTGATTCACACTTATTACGTGCTTTATACTTTGTAGGAGATGATTTCGAGTTAAGAAGATGTTCTAGAGCTAAATCGAATAATTGGAGATTTGAAGTTTGAGTAAAAACCAAGGAATCAAATCGGGATCGCATCTAGGGCTCGTGGACTAGCGTTGCATACGAAAGTTGGAAGAAAGCACAAGGGTTATGACATTTGTACTAATGTTTCGTACCATGCATAAGCACAATGCAACGCATTAGTGCAAATGTGCGTCAGAAGTGTGAGAAGTTCAGAGACTTGTAGTTTTTGGGTCTGACAGAAAAATGCACTAATGTTATGCATAGTGCGTGGCATCAATACAAAAATTTATCAGACAAGCTAAGTTCAGAGAGTTTACAACCGAGCAAAATGCACTAACGCGACGCACCCTGCGACGCATGAAGTGTAAAAAGTTTGTAGGTTTTCCTACTTCGGCTCAAAGAGTGTAGTTTCGTCCGTGTTCGTTTCTACTTGATAATATACTAGAAAAATATTTTTGAAGGGACTTTTGACCTTGGAAGCTTTGGAAGAGCATTGGAGACTACAAGACTTAGGATTTCATCATCTTTACATCAATTCAATACGAAGTTTGGATTGTAATGTTAGATTGCTGCTTCCTTATTCATTAATTATATTTGTGATGACTTCCTCCATGATTATAGAGTAGTTTATATTAAGGTTTGACGGATATGGTGTTTTGATAAATATTTGTAGACTTTAACTCTAGTTCTTGCTTGAATTCGTTATGGCGTTTTGAATTATTGCAACTTTATTCACTGGTTTATTTAATCGAAAGAGAAATATTTTGGGGATTATCTTTGCATTATTTTGTTTGGTTTAATTCGGCGATTCTCCTAAATAATCGAAATAGTTTGTTGAATTGTTGATTAAATCAAGTTAGGAGAATATTCGAGATACGTTTTCTTGTAGACTAATCCATTAACGCATGCTTGTATACTTTCATAGGGCTTATATTAGTTTACCTCGTAGAGTTAAGATTTAATCGAGATAGGAGTCTTGACTACACGTTTGAACTAATCATCGAGTGAATTCGTGAGAATTATTAGAACATTAAAATGAATTAAACTAGAGTTAAATCCCAAATGACTATCTTGTACCTATCCTATCTTATTCCTCACATTAATAAGATACCAATTCTACGAATCTCTAACTCTTTGCAGTCAATTGTCAATTGCTTTATTTTAAACGTAGTTTATAATCATTTAGCTCAAGTGTTGATTCTCCTGAATATCAATCAAACCATAAATTACTCGAATATTATTTAAATCCAATCCATGTGGAGACAATATTTTGCTATACTATCTTTGATTAGCGAGCATCAATTTCATATTGTATTTTGCGCTCGTCAACTATCTTATTTTTACTCTTAGACTCCATAATGGAGCTCCAACATAGAGGATAATTTGAAATTATATTCAAAAGTTGAAAGATAAATTTGAAAATTTCTTCACGAAGAACTTGGATATGTGAACCCACCCATTTCATGTTAAGGCGTCGTTAATGACAAAATAAAATATGTTAACATCAATTGTATTAATAGATCGTAATAAGTAAAATTGAACAATTTCGAATAGTACATTGGCAAATATACGTTTTACCTAAGAATAATGAAGAAATAGAATGGAGAGAGAGTTAGAGATTTTATTTGGATTGCATATTTACTGTTATAGAAAATATTAGGAAAAAAAATGATACTCTAAAATATTTAGTCAACTTAAAAGTGGTAAATGATAATTATTAACTTACACTTTTCGAAACATAAATAAGCCCAAACATGCTCAAATCAACTTGCAAGCTTACTAAACACAGAGTAAACAGCCAAAATACAAAGTGGTAGTTAGTAACTTATTAAAAATCATAAAATGTACGAGTGATTCGAAAATTGAAAAACGAGAAAAAAAGGGACGTTAAAGTATTACGGAAACGGAAAAAAGAAAAATCTGGATTCCGTGGAGCACGTTACCCGCGTCGTGACATCGCTCTCACAACAAAAAAGCTATAAAAACATTTCCAAAATCTCAGTTTCTCACTTTCACCCAAAGTTCCGATTCCGAACCATCACTGTGAGTTCAATATTCCACAATCCACTTTCCGAAATCAGTTTTCCCCTCTCTCAAACCAGAATTGAGAATGATAATAGTAGCTCTCCTAATTCTGGAATCAAGCTGAATTTTAGGGACTAGGGTTTACATGATGGAGATGGCAAGTGCTGCTCCAGTTCCCGTTTCCTGGATTCCCGAAGACGACCTCCTCTTGAAGAACGCCGTCGAGGTTACACTTTATCTTCGATTCGACGCTATCTACTTCCGCATTAATTTGTGATCATTTTCGCTTTTGTATTTTATGTATTTTCAGACCTATTGTTTTTCATTAGGCATATATGCGCTATTGTAATTTTCAGCGTTTAAATCAGTTCAATCAATTGTAACATTAGAAAATTGACTTGATAGTGATGATATAGAAAGGATAAGGCATGAAGAGTTAGATTTTAAGGTAGCTAATTTGCTGGAAATGCTAGGTACACGAAAATTTCACGCTCTTAAAATTTTCGTTAAGTTGGGGTTAAATACGAGAATACTGAGTTTAACAAATGATGCTAGAGATTCAGCCAATTTTACATGTTTGTTGCTCAGGTAGTTGCATATTACGTGATGAAGTTTTAGCTTCGAGCAGATTGAAACTGTGAGATGTTTTTAGGATAAAAATGATCTAGTTCTTCTTTATATTTGTTTATGCATCAGGTAATGTACGTCTTTTTTTAGTCAAAGTCCCGAAAGACACTAATGCGTCATTTGTTATTACTAGCTAAATAGTGATTGCTATTAGGTACTCCAGTTGTTCCATTTGACGATGACCTTTGAGTCTCATTGTCCCTCTTCACTATTTTACTAGGAATTGGCATTTTTTCAACCTGTGAACAGTGTTGCCAAAGGCTCATTTAAGGTGCGCTTAAGCCCTGAAGCTCAGAAAAACTTAAGGAGGGCGCTTCGCCTCACTTAAGCTGCGCTTCAGTGTAGGCAAAGTGTGCGCCTCAATGCCCATGAGTTCTATCTTGAACTGAGCGGTACTAAACAACAAATATTACAGCAAATAAGTGTATTAGTTGCTGAGGCAAACATTAGGAGAGAATTTGTCTCCTTTTTCTTGAATTGCATATGTTTTTTTATTTGTTTCCTCAGTTGCGCCTTTTTTTTACTAAAACCTGCACTTTGTTGCGCTTAAAGCCCCAGTCGATTTGGAGCGCTTTTTAGAACTTTTAGAACTTTTCGCTTTTGACAACACTGCCTGTGAACTGAAGGCCTATAGTTGTGGAATTTCTTTGGTTTTCTCTCCCTGAACCGAATATGCTTTCTATAAGTTACGTGTCCCACATTGGTGAGGGAAATGGATTGTAGTCTCCTTATATGGTCTTGGACAATCCTTTCCTTATGATCTAGCTTTTGGGGTTGAGTTAGACCCAAGGTCCATTTCTTAATACTATATTTTTGTGTTTGCATCATTATGCCTGATGCTCTGGCGTAGTGCAAGAATTTATAAAATGTTTATTACCTATAAAAAAAAATTTGTGTTTGCATCTTACAAAGTTAATATGTTTCTTACTTTACCTTGGCTCACATTGATGAGGATAGAAATGCTTCAGTTATTTTCTCTTGAAGTACTTG